ATCTGGCATCTGGGCGACTACTGTCGGCGGAAGCAGCGGGAACTGAGGACGCTGGGCAACTCGGGACGGGCGGAGGTTGAGCCGCCGGAGGCGCAGGCCAAGCGACAGAAGCTGGAGGAGGCGTCTACCTTGATTACGGACGAGTACGCCGGCGTCATTTGCCGAAACATGCCCTTCCTGCGCTCCACCTATCCAAGTGGTAAACCTTATGCAAAAGCTATGACTCCAAAGATTCCTTATCTTTTGCTTTCCCTCCACACAGATAACCATCTGCCGAAGACACAGCTTTACGTTCATGCTGCAAGGGTTGGCAAATCCCCGCCAGCCTACGAGACGCAGCAGTGCGACAAACTGTTCCGCTCCATTTGCACCTACGATGGGCAGCGCTTCAGCAGCTCCTTCTGGGAGAAGAACAAGAAGCAGGCGGAGCAGGGAGCCGCCCTGGTGGCCCTGCTCCATCTCGGCCAGCTGGAGGCGGAGGTCCTGCGCGACAATGGCAGCCTACTCAACTGAGGAGCATCTAGCGCTCATCCATGTAAATGATACCCACTCGGCTATGAATGATTATTTGATTCTGCTTGATTATTGCATTGCCTTAAGTGTTGATATTGCTTGAATTCTAGTGTTACTTTGACTACATCCGTTGGGTTCACACATTGTATATTTTTTAAATATTAAAAAAAGGAAATAAAGTTATGACTATATGAACTACTTACAAAATCAATAAAGTATGTGTAGATACTATAGGTTTGAATATGTATCTAAATATTAGCTAAAGGCAATATTCTTTGAGACGTTCATTATTTTACGAGGGATTTTAAATACATATATCTTTAGGCTATTTAAATCCGCGTACTCTGCAGAAAGTATAGTTTAATCTCACAATGATATTTTTAAACCGAATCATATAAATCACATTATTAGATGTGTCCCATTAATAGATTCTATATTGTTTCATTCTGAAGTAAATTCTGGATAGTTAACTAATTTAACTAAATGGAATACTCTCTTAATACTACTCTTAGCAAAGGTCTTTGAAGTCCAACTAATCCAACAATCATATAACTCAAACAGTTTTTCGGCCAACTCAGAGTTGAGTGTAATTCTCGTTTTGAAATATATTTATTAGGGGCTGTTTAATTTCCTAGTGTCGGGTTCAATGGTGAGATGAGAGATGAGGCGTGAGGTGCTGCTAGCTGCATACGCTTAGTGGGGCCGGCGCTGTCCCTGCGGTGCGCCATGGTGGTGTTGTCCATGGCCATGGGGATGGGGATGGGCATTTTGCGGCGGCGGCATCATGGCATGGTCATCACGAAACCCGTAGTTCGCGACGTAGTTTAGTAGATAATCCTTAGTTATGGGCTGCTTTATGCTCTCCACAACAGCTGAAATTTTAAATGCCATTACAATTAAATATATCTCAAAATCAGAATAATAAGGAAGGGAAAGCAGCCAAGATCAATTGTTTTCAATTTGAGAATTATTCACTTATTTAAGAAGAAACGTTCTTGAAATCAAGATGAAATTACTCTAGTATTTTTCGAGATAAAGTGATTTTGAAATGGATATAAGATCAGTCTCGAAATGAATTTTTCTTGACCAAGATCAAATGCTCGTCCTTTCACTTATTCGGAAAAAAAGTTCTTGAAATCAAGACGAAAGTACTCTTGAGAGTGTTTTTAAGTATACTTACAGCGGGCTGTGTTGAAGCTGTTGGGATGCTTCTTGTCTGTTCGCTCGCGCATAAACTCCCAGTTGCCATACTGATTCATGGTGCACTCGACGATCCTGTTGTCCAAGTCTCTGATCTCCTTTGTCAGCTTTTGCATGCGTCCGAAGGGGGCATCGTGCCCACCCACATAGAGAAAGCCCACCTTCTTCGTGAGCAGGCTGTGTGGTAGGGCAAGCCAAGGATTAGTTGGGCCCATTGAAAATAGCTCTCCTCTCAGTACTCACCCCTCGCCGCGCTCCGTTATGATCTTGAGCCGAAAGTCCACCGAGTTGAGCTCGTGCGGCTTCCACTTGAAGACGTCCGAGCACACGCCGGCTGTGTACGGCTGCTGGGATGGCTGGAAGATGAGGCCATCCGGCTCGTGGGCCAGCGTCCGGGAGAACTTCTCGCCCAGCAGACGGGCGGACATCCAAATGTCCCAGAAATCCTTGCCGCGCACACTGAACGCCTGCAGCCGCTGGTTGATGATGCCATGCTTCATGCCCAGGATGCGGGGACCTGCAGTGGCAATCGAACGTTAAGGTGTAAAAGTTAAACCGTGGTTGGGCAACCCACTCACCTATAACCTCCTTCTTGATGTAGTCCAGTCGGTTGGGATAGAACGGCTCGTCCCGCACATCGCGATGCGAAAGACGCACAATATCGTAGACGAGGTAGCGCGGCGTTACGGTCTCGCCGATCTTGTCTATCACCATCTCCTGCAAGGCGAGGGAAAGTAAGACAAGTGATTAGATAAACTCAAACAATCGACTATCACAGCTTACCCCATCGAGGAGCGTGCCGTCGAGGTGGTCGTTCAGGTTCTTGCCGTCCACAAATGCCACGTTCTCCACCTGGAAACAGGAGTGGTTGCGATCAAAGAAGTAGACCTCATCCCGGCCATCAATGAGCATCATGTAGCGTGTGCCGTCCGCCTTCCACGACACTCGGTAGGGTATCTCGCTAAGCCGTTTGATGTTGTTTCTGTCCATGGACACGGGCTGCGAGCCCGGGAAGCCGTTCTTGTTCCACTGGCACCAGTCCTGCACCTTTCGCTGCAAATCGCCCAGCCGCGGCTGGTCGCTCACTTGCCGCACACCCGGCACTCCGGCCATGAAGGTGGCGTTCTTGATGACCATCTCGCGGCGACGCTTCTTCCTTGGCTGTCCATCGGACGTGGAGGCATCTCCATCGCCCTCCGCCTCCTCGCCCTCCAGCTCCTCGGTCTCGTCCTCCTGCTCTCCGCCGCCCTGCTGCGACGTGGACGTGGAGCTGTTGTCGTCAAAGTGCCGCTTCCGGCTGTCCGTGGCCGAGCCATCGCCATTGCTGTCGTCATAGTCCAGACACCAGTTGGGCTGCTCCGGGGCCGCCGGGGCGTCCTCCTCGTCCTCGTACCGCTTGTACAGCTCATTAATGTAGTCCTGCTTGTAGATGCCCGGCGGTCGGGCACTGGCAAAGACAGCCAGCGCTGCCTCCACAGAGCAATCGAGTCGCTCCACCATATAGGAGACGATTAGGAAGCCGGTGCGGTTGAAGCCATGCGTGCAGTGAACGGCGATGACGTCGAAGGGACGCTCGTTGATGAAGTTGTCCACAATCTCGATGAAGCTGTGCGTCTGCTCCGGCGAGGGCGTCTCGCCGTGACCGCGGCACTGCAACTTGATGTACTGGGCGCCGCGCTCCTCCACCGTGGATCGATCGTAGAAGCGTTTCGTGTTGGTCAGGTCCACCCAGAGGCCCAGTTTCAGCTGGAGGGGATAGGTAGAGATGCAGGTTGGCAACTACACATGTCATCGCAAATGACATTCCAGATACATACCTTGAGCGTCTTGCAGTAGTCAAAGAGCATCTCGGGGCGAAAGGTGCACTCGATGGGCATCTTGTCCTGGAAGCTCTGGCTGAGCGGCGTCTTGAAGGCCAGGAATCGCTCGGCTATGATGGAGTCGCTCTTGCGCGGACAATACAGCCAGCGGTTGGGCAGTGGCCCGGAGCCGCGCTCCCTGTCCCTGTCCCGATCCCGATGAGATTGGGCCATGGTGGCTGCGCTCCTGGTCCTGCTCCTGCTGCTGCCTCTGCTGGATGCTGACGACGACGACGACGGGCGCGAGTTGCGTTCCGATCCCGGTGATCTGCTTCAGGGGCGTCGCGGTGGGGGGATTTCTGCCTGGATTCGGAGATGATGCCCGTGCCTATCGAACTGTCCAGCTGTCAAACGATACCGATGTCGATATCGATGGCTGCCGAATGGGGCACGATGTGGAGTATCGATGGCCCTCCACCATTATCGATTTACGCAGCGCCGCGCATTTGTTTATGTGGCTCGTATGGGGTACTCCCCAAAAAGCGTTTATTTTAAAATCTTTTAGAAAACTTTACAAATCAGTTGAAATGTTACATAGAATCACAAGCAGGATAAACATTGTTGCATTATATTGACGTACAAAACAAGGCCAACTATTTATTTTTGGTATGGCCTAATGTCTTTAAGGAAAAAATAAATATGAAGGCGTTGTCTTAAACAAAATTGGCATGTTATGTTCATGAAAATATTCTTACTTGGTTTCAGCACGAAGTTCGTAAAATTGAATACCCCAATTTTAATACATTTTAATCAGTTCATTTGTATTTTAAAGTATTAATGTGTATACAAAAATTATAAATCTATGTATTTTCAATTCCCATTAAAAAATAAAGCAAAAAGGAAATCTAAATAAAATGCAGAATCGCCAATATATCGTTCACTGCCAGCGTTGCCAGAGTTTATTTCTAAACATTCAAAAATAGTCGTTATTTTGTGTAATCAAACAAAATATACTAAACACTGCCAGCGTTGCCAGAGTTTCTTTATCAAAGATTAAAAAATAGTCGTTATTTTTATCTATTAAACATAAAATTCTAAAATAGCTTTCATCTTTTGTGGATGTGTTTTATATAAAAAAAAAGGTATTTATTTTAAATTGATTGGTTGTACCTTGTATCGACAATCGATTTTAAAAAATGCACACGAGCTGCAAAATAGCTGCGAAACTTTTGCATAAAAATAAACAATTTAATTGCTGCATATTTCTGTCGGTGTGTATACGCATCAATACGATATGAACTTGGGGCGCACCAAACACACATGTGTATGCACATTCGGCTGAAGAATTATTTACTGCAGTGTAAATAAACAACAATACCAGCCGTATTGTTTTTGGGTTCGATTCGAAATTCGAATACTTAACAACAATTGTTCGGCGGCGAGCACGAAGTCGAAAATCGAGGAGACGAGGAGGTTTCTGCCCAAAACCATGCCATTTTGCTCCTCACTCGATTCCTGATCGCTGGCCGGGCGCGATCTCCATTCCAATTGTATTGTTTTCCAACCTAAAAAAAATTCCTATTTATCGATTTTCCATTTGATTTCGCTGATTCGATCGTTTTGCGGCCCAATAAAATTAAAATCGTAAACTCGTTAGCCATTTATTCCGCCGTAAAGTTTCTCCATGGCCGCCGCGAAAGCCTCAAATCGCCAGTCGGAGCCGAAATTCCCGGTGGCGATGCCGCGAGGAGCGGTCACGTTGAATCCCAATCCGGCAGTGCCCAAATCGCCGGACGGAATCACCGCATTGGCCAGGAAGAGCATTACGTCCATGTCGGACGAAGAGATCATCCAGGAGAACCTCAACGAGATCCTCGAACTCAAGTCGCGCGTAAGTTCGGTTATTACCGGTGTTTTCCAAAAGTGCACTTTCAAAATTTACCAAGTTTTCTAAGCCTTCAAAATGTTGAAAAAACTCGCGTTTTCGGAAATACTTCATAGTAGTACAGTGACAAAATTTCCCTAATATTAAAAAAATGTTCCTAATGTTGAAAAACATCCCGTATTTTGGGAAAAATAATAGTGAATAAATTTCCCTTATGTTTAAAAATTTCCCAAGTGTTAAAAAATATCACTAATTAAAAAAAATCAATAAATCTTTTAATATTACAAAGGTAATGGTGTTTTTGGGAAAAAAGATAGTCTTGGACTTCTTAGACACTAAAACGGTTGAAAACCCCAATGTAAAAATCACCATTACGGATATTTCTTCAGTGTTTAAATTTTTGTTCTGTGTTTGTGACTCATCGGAAACACCTTGATTTACGGGCACGTCATTACGGATGATTTGGACTCCATGTTCTCCTAAAATTCACACGACGCCATCGTTTGTGGCGCCGTCATTACCAGCAGAATGTGTCAGACATTAAACCTGAAATGTTCCTATAGTTTCGCCTTAGATCTTTTGCACCTACAGTGGATATTAGATCAGAAAATAAGACTGAAAATATAAAATAACATATATAAATTTATAAAGAATCAAATAGTGCCTTAAAAAAATATTCCTTATTCTATATCCATTAAAAAACAATTAAGCAAAATCAACCTGTAAGTTATTTTTCTGGTCAGATCACCTTAATGAAATCCACACATCTCCCAGATACACAAAATCTCTAGACGTAAATCACGCTATTTTATGAAGTGTAAGATAATCAAACTTATATTAGGGTTCTCTTTTCTTGAATTCCTGTGTGCAATTAAAATTATTTTAATGGACAAGATGGTGATTTTAAACAATGTAGGAATAGAAAAAGCCAAGGTCTAACTATTCGTTTTATTTTTATGCATTGAAGACTCGTTAAAATTGTGCCCGAATACTTTTTTAGAAGATCATAATTCCAATAATCGATCAAATTTGAATATTTATGGAGTGATTTTTGTGTTGTTGTTGTTTTTTTTTTTTACCAATATCCACTGTAGAGTCTGTAGTTGCGAGTCCATTGTTTTTCTCTTGTGTATAAGCGTCTATATGCATGGAACGTGGAAATTGTAAACAATTGTTTTATGGCATCATTCGCAAAAACAGAAAGAGAGGAACACCTATAGCCCTGAAAATTCTTTTTCTGATTATGATTCTGCGAATGCAACCAGGGATGACTCAATTCTCATCTGTGATGTCCTTTTCCAGGAGGAACGAAAAGCCAATGGACGTCTAGTGGCTGTTATCGTCTGTTTTTTGGGTATGTTACGGGGTTTCGAGTTAAGTCGAACTTTTCTAACACAAATTCACAGATAAACACAATTTACTATACTCTGATAGTAAAGTAAAGTAAATTAAAGATTTCATATTCCATTGATAAATGTATTTTCCGCTGTGATTTTAATCCTTCGTGGCTTATTTTATTTTATTTTATTTAAGGTTCTTAAACTTTGCTTTTAACATGAATTTTTTTTTTATTGACATAATAAGTGTGACCATATATTTATACATTTACAAATCTAATATTTTTTACCTTGATATACAAATATTTTTGTAGTACACCTTTAAATTGCTTATAATATTAATTTTTAATACCCAATTTGTCATTCAATATGCAGATATTTTTTTATACTATTTCATTTCTTATCAATGTGTATATGGTTTAACAATTTCCATTTATTTCCTTTATTTAGACTTTCTGCATGTTAAACTAAAAGCAGGTTTTAAACTCAAAGTTACCAAACGTTTTCTAGGTTTAAAACCTATTTTTAGTTTAAAACCGCGGAAGAGAAGTTGATCCTAAATTTGAAAAAATAAATTAATTAAATCCATTTAAGAAAGTTATACAATTTTATCAACAAACTATTTTAAAACCAACATTGAGAAAAATTAAAATGATGATGGTAGCCTTAAAGTAGGGCTGGAAAGGCCTTCTTTTCCCTATTATCTTACTTCATTTTTTAAAGGTATATTGGAATCGTATGTGTACCTCAAATTTAAATCATTTGAATTTTTGAAGGGTAATTTGGGGGAAACCCCCCTTTTGGTGTTAGCAAAGTGCGACTGTAACCCCGACTAGTAAGTCCACCTCTCAACGGATCCCCATTCCACAGTGCTCTTCCTGGCCGTCTACCACGCCTGCGTCCGGAAGTCGGAGAACTCGCTGGCCGGCGTCCTTGTCCCGGCGGGCATCATGCTCTCCTACGGCGCCTGGGTGGCCGTCCTGGCCAAAAGGGACAAGCATCGGCGGGCCATGTTTGTAGGACACTTCACTTGCACTTGCGGCGAGCCAAGCGAGCTGAGTTCACCCAGAGATGCTCTTCCATTTTGCAGGAGCGGCACATCGAGGAGGTGGCCCTGAAGAACAAGATCGAGCTGGAGGAGAAGCATGCCCGCCATGCCAAGCATTCGCATTCGCATCATGGTCATGGTCACTCTGGCACGGATTCCACGGGCAGTGCCTCCAGCACATTGCACTACGTGAACGAACTGCTCCCGAATGGGGAGCACCGCAAGAAGCAGCGACGCCATGGGCACAAGAAGCGCTCCGGCGATCGGGAGGATCATCAGCAGAGCCTGGAGGTCGGAGTGCATCGAGGGACGCCCAAGAGACCGAGCTTCCGGCAGAAGCTCTTTGGCCAGACCATCGCCCATGTGAAGCTGGTGGAGGCCCAGAGCGACAGCACGGACTCGGCGGGCGGTCCGGGTCCGGGTTCGAAACCACCCAGGGGTACGAGTTCAAAACCCACTGGCGGCCAAAATCCCAATTCCAATCCCAATCCCGGCGAGAAACGCCCCCGGCTACAGCCGCAGGTGGTGCGAGTCAGCTCGGTGCCATAAGAGAGATATATGGGCACTTTTGTTTTGGGGTCGCCGAGGGGATGGCCTCGCTATTGTATCGAATAAATAAATGTATTATAAAAAATATAAACAGGAAATTCGCCTTTATAAATAGACGGCAATCAAAGGAAGGAAACGATCCGATCTCCGTTTCGAAATCAATGCTAAATACGTGAGAATTGTATTGTGCAAACAGTTCCGACCATCTGGCTTTGGGTGGAGATGTTTCGATATTTTGATTCAGTATTATTGTTTCATTTATCCCTTCATTAAACAAATTTTTCTTTTTATACATTTCTCAAATTTTTTTTTTCCATTTCTTATTGAATGATCGGTTTTCCTTATAATGTTTCTAGGGCAATCATTTTTTGTATATTTTAATACCCACATTATTATTTTGTAATTGTTTTGTACAGATTTTAAAGGTCAAGCATTTTTCCTGTCCTACTCAGAGCATTTTCAAAACAAAGGTCGGTTTCGCCCCATCTTTCTTCCCTTTAATGTTTCCATGGGGCAATCATTTTATTGCATATTTTATTTACCACGAAATTTTCCTGCTTCCTCAATGGAAAATATTACAATTGTTTAAATCACCTTCAAAGGAATACACATAGTGGGTTTCCATTGTTTGAGGGAATTAATGGTGGCGTTATATTTAATGATCAGCACTATCCCCAGACGTTCGTGTGCGTGCTTCGAGACACGGAGTGGGCGCTAATTCCGGGCACATTGTTTTCGGTCATCAGATTGTTATTACAGTTTAATAGCTTACATGTGGTGGACCACACTCTGCCGCTGGGGGCCCCGATTTTAGGAATTCCCCCAGAACCAGAAGCACTCGCTTGTTTACACGGCGTGCCTTTCAGTGCGGCCGACTATGTTTGAACTGAAAAGAACATAAAAGTGGCTAAATTTATGAAACATTTTCCAACAATTTCGAATATTAATTTAATAAATTTTGAAGTTACTTTTTTTAAAAGCCACTTGAAAGGAACAAATTAAGAATTTTAAATTTTACAAATATGTGTCTATGTTCCCTCAATGGTATAAAGTGAAAGGCAAATAGTTGGTAATGAAAAATTATACATAAAAACATAAAGTAATTAGACAACATTGATTCTTCTTTTTTATAATATTCATTTCATTTACAGATACAAATTTAAATTTTGTGGCTTTATAGGGAGTTACAGTCCTAATCAGAATGATTTTACCCATAAATGTACTAATTCAAGTCCATTTAGGATAAAAAATACCTCATTTTTGTTTAAGTATTTACTGTTTTACAAAATATTAGATTTTAAACATTTGATATCGATTGTATACCGATTGCAAACACGTTACTATAATTTACTGTACTAGAATTCCCCCAACGTTACCTTCAAAAACCCCGATATTTATATCGATAGAAATTCCAGAACATAACTTTGTTAGAAAATCACCGTATCTTACAAGTTAACTGCATTCCCTTACGTTTTCCGGCACTACGTTTGCCGATAGCGATAACAGTGAAATAATAATTATTTATTTGTATTTACGCACTTTCGTTGCCGATAGCGATAACAGCGATAAGTCAGGTGAAAAATATCACGATATAAGTATTTATTTTTATACGAAAAGTATCGATTTTGATACATTTCTCCCATCCCTAGTGTCGGCTTTTGAATATAAAATAAACGACGCGCCGAAAGTAATTGTTATTTTTTCCCCGTGCCCCGTGTTTTTTTTCGCGTCTAGTAGTCCTTGTGCCCGTCGAACGGAAGTGTCAAACTTACCAGTGCTAGTCGCCCCAGTTGTGTAGTCAGTAGGAGCAAGGTTTCCACACAGGACAGACGTGTTTTCTGCTCTCGCTGCCCGGCAAACACAAACATTTATTGAATATTTTCTACTTTTTTTGTTCGGTCGTGTTTTTTTTTGTTTTGCTAGTCACGTTGTGCCATCGTTATTTTTTTTTCGTTTCGGTTTTCGGGGAACAGTGCCGTTGTTCGTTGGGGGTCAACTGACCTTGCGCGCCCCGCACCATGGACCTGCGCAGCTGGCGTAAGCTTCTTATCCAGTGGGTAAGTAGTAGAGATCCTGGGATCTTCGCAGGTCTTCCCGATGCCATCCACTTACGCGATTTCCCGACACAGGTGATCGAGTGTCGCTTCATTGAACACAACTTCATCACATTGGAGCAGTCTGACCTCGATACCTTCTTCTCGATTTACGTGCAAAAGGTACAGGTGGCGCCGGTGGAGGATGAGAACGCGCTGCCGGCCCAGCCCGGGGAGCGCCGCTCCCCCCTGCTGAACTTCCTAAGAGGTGAGTTCGGGTATTTTGCATTTCCAGCCGAAATAGTTTTGCACGTCATGCCTCCTGAAAAACAGGGTTGTCATCCTTCTCATAGGGGATTCTATTTTCCCAAAGTCATTGTTGCCCAAATGTCATGAGTCTACATGCCAAGACACGTTTGATATAGGAACTTTCATATAGAAAATATGGGACATACGCACCTACCAAATTCGATGGTTAAAGAACTGATTATATGAGAATTTCACTTTGTTAACAGAACTTTTTGAAATAGCAATATTACTCAGGGACTAAGGATCATTTTCTACCATTTCAGTCCTGCAAGGGTGTATAGGCTCTTATCTAGGCATGTATGTTAAGTTCCCCTTGAAAAGGTTTTGGATATATGTAGAAACATTCATACAGAAAAGGCAGACCTTGTATAGACCCTACCCGAGTTGATATTTAATTTGTAGAATGATAAATATCAGTATTATTCAAGGGCAAATGTTTATTTTATGCCATTTTAGTCAAATTTTAAATTGTGATTATAAATACAAGGTTATACTTCCTAAGAGGCGAGTTCGGGTATTTTGCATTTCCAGCCGAAATAGTTTTGCACGTCATGTCTCCTGAAAAACAGGGTTGTCATCCTTCTCATAGGGGATTCTATTTTCTCAAAGTCATTGTTGCCCAAATGTCATGAGTCTACATGCCAAGACACGTTTGATATAGGAACTTTCATATAGAAAATATGGGACATACGCACCTACCAAATTCGATGGTTAAAGAACTGATTATATGAGAATTTCACTTTGTTAACAGAACTTTTTGAAATAGCAATATTACTCAGGGACTAAGGATCATTTTCTACCATTTCAGTCCTGCAAGGGTGTATAGGCTCTTATCTAGGCATGTATGTTAAGTTCCCCTTGAAAAGGTTTTGGATATATGTAGAAACATTCATACAGAAAAGGCAGACCTTGTATAGACCCTACCCGAGTTGATATTTAATTTGTAGAATGATAAATATCAGTATTATTCAAGGGCAAATGTTTATTTTATGCCATTTTAGTCAAATTTTAAATTGTGATTATAAATACAAGGTTATACTTCCTAAGAGGCGAGTTCGGGTATTTTGCATTTCCAGCCGAAATAGTTTTGCACGTCATGTCTCCTGAAAAACAGGGTTGTCATCCTTCTCATAGGGGATTCTATTTTCCCAAAGTCATTGTTGCCCAAATGTCATGAGTCTACATGCCAAGACACGTTTGATATAGGAACTTTCATATAGAAAATATGGGACATACGCACCTACCAAATTCGATGGTTAAAGAATTTCACTTTGTTAACAGAACTTTTTGAAATAGCAATATTACTCAGGGACTAAGGATCATTTTCTACCATTTCAGTCCTGCAAGGGTGTATAGGCTCTTATCTAGGCATGTATGTTAAGTTCCCCTTGAAAAGGTTTTGGATATAGAAACATTCATACAGAAAAGGCAGACCTTCTATAGACTCTACCCGAGTTGATATTTAAGTTGTAGAATGATAAATATCAGTATTATTCAAGGGCAAATGTTTATTTTATGCCATTTTAGTCAAATTTTAAATTGTGATTATAAATACAAGGTTATACTTCCTAAGAGGCGAGTTCGGGTATTTTGCATTTCCAGCCGAAATAGTTTTGCACGTCATGTCTCCTGAAAAACAGGGTTGTCATCCTTCTCATAGGGGATTCTATTTTCCCAAAGTCATTGTTGCCCAAATGTCATGAGTCTACATGCCAAGACACGTTTGATATAGGAACTTTCATATAGAAAATATGGGACATACGCACCTACCAAATTCGATGGTTAAAGAACTGATTATATGAGAATTTCACTTTGTTAACAGAACTTTTTGAAATAGCAATATTACTCAGGGACTAAGGATCATTTTCTACCATTTCAGTCCTGCAAGGGTGTATAGGCTCTTATCTAGGCATGTATGTTAAGTTCCCCTTGAAAAGGTTTTGGATATAGAAACATTCATACAGAAAAGGCAGACCTTGTATAGACCCTACCCGAGTTGATATTTAATTTGTAGAATGATAAATATCAGTATTATTCAAGATCAAATGTTTATTTTATGCCATTTTAGTCAAATTTTAAATTGTGATTATAAATACAAGGTTACACAAGGGTTAGATATGTACATATATCAAATTCCCCCTTTTTATTTTCTTGAAAAGGTTTTGGGATTTTCAAAAGATTTTCTTTCTTCCATTTTACTTTATTGTCAATAAACTAATTGAAATAGTAGTATTATTCAAGGCTTAATGGCCATTTTATAAAATTTTAGTGAAATCTTAGATTATTATAAGACATGCAAGGGTATGTACACTTCTCAAGTCCTCTTTTAAGCTAGTTCCCTTGGCACCTTGAAAAGGTTTTGGGATTTTCCAAGGATTTTCCTTCCCTAACTTGTTGCTTAAAACTGCTTAAACTAATGAGACCCATTTTTATTTCAACGCAGATCATTATCCACAGTTCAGTGCCCGCATAGATGGCCGTGGCCAACTCGTGACCTCGGACTACGCGTACGTCTACACACTGCTCCTGCACTACTCGTGCGTGAAGCAGCCCAGCGCGTCCATCCACAGCATCTGCAAGAAGCTGCCGGAGCTAGTGCAGACTTGCATCGCCAACTTCTTCGGCCAGACGTTGGAGCAGCAGCTGACGCGTCAATTTATACGCCAGTCTGTGAACAATGTGGCTGTGGTTTACCGCCAGGGCGTCCAGATCAGCCCCAGTCGTCCGAGCTGCAGCACCATGAGTCCCGAGCTGCAGGAGGATCACGATCACGACACTAACGTGTACCACTTGGAGAACAAGAGGCTAATTAAACTCAACGATACGCTCAATGAGATGGTGGCCAAGGGAGACGCACATCTGGCCGAGATAAAGGAGCAGCTTGGCGAGAAAGAGCGTCAGATAGACGATTTGGGTGCTCAAATCTTGGATCTGCGCGAGCGGAATGAGTGGCTCGGAACTAAGATCACGCTGATCGATGAGGAGCGAAGCAGCGAGGCAAGCCGTTCGGAGAAGGAGCTGCGCTGTCATACGTACTTGCGTGACAAGTATAACCATTGTCGAAGCCAGCTTAAGGATAGGATCGAGGACATGGATAAGTTGTCCCGCCAACTGGATGCGTCCAACTGGGAGAACGCGTGTCAACGAGTGCTCCAGTTGCAGTCTGAATGCGAATCCCTCAAGGTGACAATGGAATCGCTAAACGTGTACATAAAGACAAGGGCGGATAAGGAGCAGCGTCTCACCAGCCAACGGGATGAGCTCAATATCCAAAACGATTTTCTGAACCAGCAGTACGGCAAGTTAAAGGAGGATTCAGACTATTTTCTGGGCCGCATCTCTAGCCTCTTAAGAGCCGACAACTCTGTGAATTCCCTGACATCCTCCATCGACTCGACAACGGACGAAATTGGCAAGCGGTTCCGTGATATTGAATCGTTGCTCGAGCAGCACATGAAATCGTTTGATGAGACTGAGGCGAGGGTGAATAGTTTGAACGATGAGTTGGCAGATCTTCAGCGACGCAATGCAGAGCTTACCAATGAGAACGAGACACTGATTGCCCAGAAGGTCCAAGAACTGGGTCAACTGGGTGAGGATATTGAAAAACTGAATGACGTGATTAAAAAACAGAATGACGAGATCGCCAGTCTTACCAAAAACATTCCTCTGTTAGAAAAGGTTGTGAAAAAAACTCAGGACAAGATGGCGAAGGCTCATGTGTTGGTACAAAGCTTAAGTACGGCAGCCATCAATTCTATTGCCACCATTGAGCCTCGTCTTTTGAAATGGGGTTCAATCTCTACTTATGCGGGATGCACTGATGCAAAAGACCCCGCGCAATTCCAATCTTGGATGACCCAGTTTGTCGACATCTATGACCAAATGGATGCCAGTCGCCAGACTCTGGAAAACCGCTACGTTGAGGCCTCGAGCAAATTGGATACGCTTAGCCAGGCCAAGAAGCGATTGGAGGAGCAGGTGCAGCAACTGCAGAATAAGTCGACTAACGATCAGATCCCTATGCTAAAGCCACTCAACGAAACCATCAAGAACCTGGAGCTGGTGAACGACAAGCTGACCAAGGACAACCTTAAGCTTCATGACATGAATCTAGAGTTGGGTGAGAGTCTGATGAAGTCCCACAAAGAGGTGGAACGTCGCGCGACCAAATACGTCCAGCTGGAGGCTGCGGATAGGCGGAAGTCCAGCGATCTGCACGATTGCCGGAAGAAGCAAGATGAACAGAAAGCGGAACTGAAGTCCATGCAGGAAAAAATGGCCGCGTTAAAGGAAACTTATGAAAAACAGATTGAAGAACTGAAAGCTAACTGTGATCAGCGGTCCAAGGAAGTTGAGAAAGAGGTGGATGGAACCCAGGACTTGCAAATAAACCTAAAGGAAAGTGAGGACAAGGTATCGAAACTAGTGGAAGAGCACAAGCAACTGTTGAAGAACACGAAAGATGAGCACGAAAAGCGTTGCAAAGAGCTAGAGAAGCAGTTGGCCGAAAAGGATGAAGAGCAGTCAAAGTTGAAGGCTTTGGAAGAAGAATGTCAAAAGCGCTGCCAAGACATCGAGAAGCAGCTGTCCGAGAAGGAGTCCCAGTCCTCGGAGTTGGTCAAAGAGCACGAAGAAGAAGTTAAGACAATCAAAGCGGAGCTGGAGGAGGCTCGCTACCAGGAGAAGGAGTTGCGCCTAAAGGACAAAGAGCTGCGCGAGACCATACAGACCCACAAGCAACTATTAAGGGAAACTACTTCCGATCTGCAGGATTCTCGCCTTCAGGAGCAGAGCATGCGCCAAACTATGGAGACCCACAAGCAACTATTGATGGAATCGGGTCCCAGCGAGGAGCTCCTCATTTTGCGTAATAAGCTGCAGGAGGAAGAGAAGCTTACGAAAGAGCTCAGAGCAAAGCTAGAGAAGCAGGGATCTAGCGAGGAGCTTCTCAGTTTGCGCAATAAGCTCCAGGAGGAAGAGAAGCTTACGAATGAGTTCAGAGCAAAGGTAGAGAAGCTAGAATCCAGCGAGGAGCTTCTCAGTTTGCGTAATAAGCTCCAGGAAGAGGTGAAGCTTACGCATGAGCTCAGGGCAAAGGTAGAGAAGCTAGAATCCAGCGAGGAGCTTCTCAGTTTTCTCCAGGAAGAGGAGAAGCTTACGCATGAGCTCAGGGCAAAGGTAGAGAACCGAGAATCCAGCGAAGAGCTTCTCAGCTTGCGCAATAAGCTCCAGGCGGAAGAGAAGCTTACGAATGAGCTCAGGGAACAACTTGAGCACCGAGAATCCAGCGGGGAGCTGCTCAGCTTGCGCAATAAGCTCCAGGCGGAAGAGAAGCTTACGAATGAGCTCAGGGAACAACTTGAGCACCGAGAATCCAGCGGGGAGCTGCTCAGCTTGCGCAATAAGCTCCAGGCGGAAGAGAAGCTTACGAACGAGCTCAGGGCACAGCTGGAGAATCGAGAATCCAGCGAGGAGCTGCTAAGCTTGCGCAATAAGCTCCATGAGGAAGAGAAGCTTACAAACCAACTAAGAGCAGAGCTGCAGGGGTCACGACCCAGCGAGGAGCTTCTCAATTTGCGTAATAAGCTCCAGGAAGAAGAGAAACTTACGAATGAGCTCAGGGCACAACTGGAGAATCGAGAATCCAGCGAGGAGCTGCTCAGCTTGCGCAATAAGCTCCAGGAGGAAGAGAAGCTTACGAACCAATTAAGAGCACAGCTGGAGGAGCGAGGATCCAGCGAGGAGCTTCTCAGCTTGCGTAATAAGCTCCAGGAGGAAGAGAAACTTACGAATCAGCTCAAGGCGCAGCTAGAGAAGCGAGGGTCCAACAAGGAGCTTGTCAGCTTGCGTAATAAGCTTCAGGACGAAGAAAAGCTTACTAAGCAGCTCAGGACAATGCTAGAGAAGAGAGAATCCAGCAAGGAGTTGGTCAGTTTGCGTAATAAGCTCCAAGAGGAAGAGAAGGTTACTAAGCAGCTCAGGCTGAAGCTAGAGAAGCAACGTAAAGAACTGAGTAAGGCCAAGGCGGACCTGGAGGACTTGAAAAGCGCCGATAAGAATTTGCACAGTCTACAAACCAAACTTAAGGACGAAGAGAAGCTTACTCATCAACTTAAGGAGGAGCTGAGCTCGGCTAAGGACCAGCTCGGAGGCGATGCAAGCAGTACTACTGAACTAAGAAAACTGTACGACAACTCCAAGGAGGAGCTGATCTGTTTGACTAACAAGCTCGAGAACGAAGTGAAGCTTATGGATCAGATGAAAATGTTGCTAGACAAGCAACACAAAGATCTGGTCCAGGCCAAGGAGCAGCTCAAGAGCGCCGAGAGCTCCAAGGAGGAACTGCTGGCTCTCCAAACCAAACTTCAGCATGAACAGAAACTTACGGATCAGCTTAAGGAGGAGCTGAGCAAGGCCAAGGCCGAACTCGCAAGCAATGCAAATAGAACGACGGAACCAAATAAATTGTATCAGAGCTCCAAGCAGGAACTGCTCAGTCTACAAACCAAACTTCATGACGAACAGAAACTTACGGATCATCTGAGGGATCAGCTTAGGGACGAAATGAATAAATTGTGTGGCAGCTCCAAGGAGGATCTGCTCAGTTTACAAACTCAGCTCCAGAACGAAGAGAAGATCAGGAATCTGCTCAAGAAGAAGCTGTTCGAGAAAGAGGAAGAGCTAAAAACGACCAAGTCCCAACTCGAAAGCAATGCAAATCGCATGGCGCAAGTAAATGGAAGCTCCAAGGAGGAGATGCTCGGCTTGCATAATAAGCTCCAGGACCAGGAGGATCTGCTCAGTTTACAAACTCAGCTCCAGAACGAAGAGAAGATCAGGAATCTGCTCAAGAAGAAGCTGTTCGAGAAAGAGGAAGAGCTAAAAACGACCAAGTCCCAACTCGAAAGCAATGCAAATCGCATGGCGCAAGTAAATGGAAGCTCCAAGGAGGAGATGCTCGGCTTGCATAATAAGCTCCAGGACCAGGAGAATCTAAGTCATCAGCTCAATGCTGAGCTGGCCAAGCAGCAGGAGCTGCTCAGCACAGCCAATGCCCAACTCGAAAGCTACGCACAACTGGAAGCGTTGTTTGACGGCTCAAAGGATGAGATGGTAAGGCTTCGGAATATGATTCATAAGGAACAAAAGCTTTCGGAACAGCTCAGAGCAGAGATGAAGGATCAGGCCGATGCTCACCAGAAGGAAGTGGATAGTTTGAAACTAGCAAGGGATTCCATACTGCCTGAGATCCAAGTGGTTAAGGGGCGAATGGTGAAGGCCGAGCGCGAATACCAGATCAGTCTGGCCACCCTGGAGGACCAAATCGAAACGTTGGATGAGCGCAACAAACAGGCCGAAGTTGAGTGTCTCTCTGCCAAAGAGCGGATCAAAGAACTGGAGTCAAGTTGCAAGGCCAAGGAGGATCAGCTCTTGCAAGCCGAGCTCTTGAACGATTGCCTGGCGCTCGAGATTAGCTGCCACAATGGGGAGGTGGAAAAACTAAACCAACAGCTGGCAAAGAAAGATGAAGAGATGGCTGAATTGCGCAATTGCGCTGGGCGTAACCAGAAGCTGGGGCAGCAGGATATGGACGAGTTGCAGCAACGTTTGGATAGCGAGATGGTCAAACGCCAAAAGGCCGAGGATCAGTTGGCCGCAGCCAGCGAACGGCTAACCGATCTTGTCCAGGAATTGGACGGAACACGACTCGTCCACGATGCCTGTCAATACGAACTGGAGGAGAAGACGCGCGAGATTGAAACCCTTCGTGCCGAGTCGACGGACCGCATTCGTTCCTATAAGGAGCGCCTGGAAGCCTTATCACAGCAGCTGGCCCAATGCCATGACGACCTGGCCGAGCTGAGGTCGGCCAACGAGAGCCGATCGCAGAGTCCGGAAGCGGACTCCAATCTCGGCCAGCTGCGCCAGGAGGCGGTGCGAAACAGCAAGCTTGCGCTGGACTGCCAGATCCTGCAGGCCAAGTATCGCGACGCCAAGGATGAGATCCAGCGCTGCGAGCAGAAGATCAAGGACCAGCGTCTCGAGATGGAGGGCAAGTTGGACAAGATGAAGACCAAGATGGTAAGTCGTTTTGATTCCTAAAACCGAGTGCGGCTGGTGGCATGGACATGTACTTATCCAATAATCCCAGAAACCATGCCATTTTAGCCCTGCCGTTGAATTTTTTTTTTGTCTGTGCATGTTTTTTACGTTGTTTGTTGTTTTGCTGTACTAACTTGTCCAGAATTAGAGGGTGGTGGTGGTATCCTTGTGTATGTGCTCTTGCAGGTCCTCAAAATTCACCGAAGTTTCGGTTAAAATTGATCGAGAGATGGAAACCTAGCTATAAGGTTTACTTACATACAAATATTCGATCTAGTTATGTCCTTTGTCCATAAAAATCTAGGGATTCTTTGAGTATAGACGGAACATAAGGAATATCCTGTAGCAGCAGAGAGCTTAGAGAACTTGGGGAACTCGCATACCAAGTTTAATTAAAATTAAAATTAAAATTTAAATTAAAATTTTAAATAAATTTATTTAAAATTTAAAGAATTTAGGTCAGGGTATTTAATCGATCTCTTATTAAAATTTGAAATCATAATATATGGCATATCCACAATTGCTGAGTTGTAGCTTTATTTAACCGAACTGTCACATCATGGAATTAAAAAGCATATATCTTTCCTTCCTCTCTCCATTCACTCCTTCAAACAAAAAAAAACACCAATCAAACATCCTCCATTCCCCATCCCAATCCCGGAACCCCAAAAATATCCCATAAAACCCCATGCCAACCTAAAGACCCAGACAAATCTGTCGGTCGATCCGAAGACTGTTGGCCGCCTCACGATGGTCTCAAGAGGCACAGATGTGACACGTGGGGCAGAAGTGGCAGCCGAAGTGGCAGCTGAAGAACAAGCGATACCAATGGCAGTACGGATATTGGCCAGGCGCATTGGCGACGAACCGGTAGAGGTCGGTAACCCTGACAACGAACCGGTAGAGGTCGCGAACCCTGACAACGAACCGGTGGTAGAGGTCCGAAACAATGAAGTCGCGATCCCGCGCCGTAACGCATACCAATACCGATCCCTGTTATTGCTGGTCGGCCTGCTTGCCTTACTTTTAGCTGGACTTCTTTTAACTCTATATGAACGACACACAGATCGATATCGTTTTTAATAGCCCAACGGAGTTCTAGACTGACAAATGTAGATTTTGTTATTAGCTATTTACATGTTGTTATATACTTATGTACCTACTTTGAATATATATATCTGATAAATTTCCACAATGCCACGGCATTGCCCAAAATGTTTTTTGTTTGTTGTTTATTTGTTATCCTCGCTGTACTCACTGCTGTCTCACTTGCTCGCCCCCCGAAACCCGAACCCAAAATATACACTGCCCTAACTTGTCCACGTTCACCCACACGCCACACGCACCCGGACATTTGACACACCATCCGCAGCGCTCCTTGTACACGGCGGAGGTGACCCGCATGAAGGAGAAGCAGGAACGGGATGCGGCCAAGAGTGCGTCCGAGATGGAGGCCCTCACAGTCCAGGTAAATATGGCTATAACCCTTGGAATTCTAATGCTAATTCGGTATCTGTCTTTTTAGAACGCCAAGTACGAAGAGCTCACGCGCAAGCTGTCGAACCAGATTGTCCGGCTGAACGAGAAAATCCTGGAGCAACAGAAGCAGCATGCCATCATCAGCACCAAGTTGCGCCATCTGCAGATGCAGCCAGTGTGCGAGGCGAAGCCTACCACTGCCACAATAGCCGTTTCCTCCAGCTTTGGGTGGAGATGTTTCGATATTTTGATTCAGTATTATTGTTTCATTTATCCCTTCATTAAACAAATTTTTCTTTTTATAGATTTCTCAAATTTTTTTTTTCCATTTCTTATTGAATGATCGGTTTTCCTTATAATGTTTCTAGGGCAATCATTTTTTGTATATTTTAATACCCACATTATTATTTTGTAATTGTTTTGTACAGATTTTAAAGGTCAAGCATTTTTCCTGTCCTACTCAGAGCATTTTCAAAACAAAGGTCGGTTTCGCCCCATCTTTCTTCCCTTTAATGTTTCCATGGGGCAATCATTTTATTGCATATTTTATTTACCACGAAATTTTCCTGCTTCCTCAATGGAAAATATTACAATTGTTTAAATCACCTTCAAAGGAATACACATAGTGGGTTTCCATTGTTTGAGGGAATTAATGGTGGCGTTATATTTAATGATCAGCACTATCCCCAGACGTTCGTGTGCGTGCTTCGAGACACGGAGTGGGCGCTAATTCCGGGCACATTGTTTTCGGTCATCAGATTGTTATTACAGTTTAATAGCTTACATGTGGTGGACCACACTCTGCCGCTGGGGGCCCCGATTTTAGGAATTCCCCCAGAACCAGAAGCACTCGCTTGTTTACACGGCGTGCCTTTCAGTGCGGCCGACTATGTTTGAACTGAAAAGAACATAAAAGTGGCTAAATTTATGAAACATTTTCCAACAATTTCGAATATTAATTTAATAAATTTTGAAGTTACTTTTTTTAAAAGCCACTTGAAAGGAACAAATTAAGAATTTTAAATTTTACAAATATGTGTCTATGTTCCCTCAATGGTATAAAGTGAAAGGCAAATAGTTGGTAATGAAAAATTATACATAAAAACATAAAGTAATTAGACAACATTGATTCTTCTTTTTTATAATATTCATTTCATTTACAGATACAAATTTAAATTTTGTGGCTTTATAGGGAGTTACAGTCCTAATCAGAATGATTTTACCCATAAATGTACTAATTCAAGTCCATTTAGGATAAAAAATACCTCATTTTTGTTTAAGTATTTACTGTTTTACAAAATATTAGATTTTAAACATTTGATATCGATTGTATACCGATTGCAAACACGTTACTATAATTTACTGTACTAGAATTCCCCCAACGTTACCTTCAAAAACCCCGATATTTATATCGATAGAAATTCCAGAACATAACTTTGTTAGAAAATCACCGTATCTTACAAGTTAACTGCATTCCCTTACGTTTTCCGGCACTACGTTTGCCGATAGCGATAACAGTGAAATAATAATTATTTATTTGTATTTACGCACTTTCGTTGCCGATAGCGATAACAGCGATAAGTCAGGTGAAAAATATCACGATATAAGTATTTATTTTTATACGAAAAGTATCGATTTTGATACATTTCTCCCATCCCTAGTGTCGGCTTTTGAATATAAAATAAACGACGCGCCGAAAGTAATTGTTATTTTTTCCCCGTGCCCCGTGTTTTTTTTCGCGTCTAGTAGTCCTTGTGCCCGTCGAACGGAAGTGTCAAACTTACCAGTGCTAGTCGCCCCAGTTGTGTAGTCAGTAGGAGCAAGGTTTCCACACAGGACAGACGTGTTTTCTGCTCTCGCTGCCCGGCAAACACAAACATTTATTGAATATTTTCTACTTTTTTTGTTCGGTCGTGTTTTTTTTTGTTTTGCTAGTCACGTTGTGCCATCGTTATTTTTTTTTCGTTTCGGTTTTCGGGGAACAGTGCCGTTGTTCGTTGGGGGTCAACTGACCTTGCGCGCCCCGCACCATGGACCTGCGCAGCTGGCGTAAGCTTCTTATCCAGTGGGTAAGTAGTAGAGATCCTGGGATCTTCGCAGGTCTTCCCGATGCCATCCACTTACGCGATTTCCCGACACAGGTGATCGAGTGTCGCTTCATTGAACACAACTTCATCACATTGGAGCAGTCTGACCTCGATACCTTCTTCTCGATTTACGTGCAAAAGGTACAGGTGGCGCCGGTGGAGGATGAGAACGCGCTGCCGGCCCAGCCCGGGGAGCGCCGCTCCCCCCTGCTGAACTTCCTAAGAGGTGAGTTCGGGTATTTTGCATTTCCAGCCGAAATAGTTTTGCACGTCATGCCTCCTGAAAAACAGGGTTGTCATCCTTCTCATAGGGGATTCTATTTTCCCAAAGTCATTGTTGCCCAAATGTCATGAGTCTACATGCCAAGACACGTTTGATATAGGAACTTTCATATAGAAAATATGGGACATACGCACCTACCAAATTCGATGGTTAAAGAACTGATTATATGAGAATTTCACTTTGTTAACAGAACTTTTTGAAATAGCAATATTACTCAGGGACTAAGGATCATTTTCTACCATTTCAGTCCTGCAAGGGTGTATAGGCTCTTATCTAGGCGTGTATGTTAAGTTCCCCTTGAAAAGGTTTTGGATATATGTAGAAACATTCATACAGAAAAGGCAGACCTTGTATAGACCCTACCCGAGTTGATATTTAATTTGTAGAATGATAAATATCAGTATTATTCAAGGGCAAATGTTTATTTTATGCCATTTTAGTCAAATTTTAAATTGTGATTATAAATACAAGGTTATACTTCCTAAGAGGCGAGTTCGGGTATTTTGCATTTCCAGCCGAAATAGTTTTGCACGTCATGTCTCCTGAAAAACAGGGTTGTCATCCTTCTCATAGGGGATTCTATTTTCCCAAAGTCATTGTTGCCCAAATGTCATGAATCTACATGCCAAGACACGTTTGATATAGGAACTTTCATATAGAAAATATGGGACATACGCACCTACCAAATTCGATGGTTAAAGAATTTCACTTTGTTAACAGAACTTTTTGAAATAGCAATATTACTCAGGGACTAAGGATCATTTTCTACCATTTCAGTCCTGCAAGGGTGTATAGGCTCTTATCTAGGCATGTATGTTAAGTTCCCCTTGAAAAGGTTTTGGATATAGAAACATTCATACAGAAAAGGCAGACCTTCTATAGACTCTACCCGAGTTGATATTTAAGTTGTAGAATGATAAATATCAGTATTATTCAAGGGCAAATGTTTATTTTATGCCATTTTAGTCAAATTTTAAATTGTGATTATAAATACAAGGTTATACAAGGGTTAGATATGTACATATATCAAATTCCCCCTTTTTATTTTCTTGAAAAGGTTTTGGGATTTTCAAAAGATTTTCTTTCTTCCATTTTACTTTATTGTCAATAAACTAATTGAAATAGTAGTATTATTCAAGGCTTAATGGCCATTTTATAAAATTTTAGTGAAATCTTAGATTATTATAAGACATGCAAGGGTATGTACACTTCTCAAGTCCTCTTTTAAGCTAGTTCCCTTGGCACCTTGAAAAGGTTTTGGGATTTTCCAAGGATTTTCCTTCCCTAACTTGTTGCTTAAAACTGCTTAAACTAATGAGACCCATTTTTATTTCAACGCAGATCATTATCCACAGTTCAGTGCCCGCATAGATGGCCGTGGCCAACTCGTGACCTCGGACTACGCGTACGTCTACACACTGCTCCTGCACTACTCGTGCGTGAAGCAGCCCAGCGCGTCCATCCACAGCATCTGCAAGAAGCTGCCGGAGCTAGTGCAGACTTGCATCGCCAACTTCTTCGGCCAGACGTTGGAGCAGCAGCTGACGCGTCAATTTATACGCCAGTCTGTGAACAATGTGGCTGTGGTTTACCGCCAGGGCGTCCAGATCAGCCCCAGTCGTCCGAGCTGCAGCACCATGAGTCCCGAGCTGCAGGAGGATCACGATCACGACACTAACGTGTACCACTTGGAGAACAAGAGGCTAATTAAACTCAACGATACGCTCAATGAGATGGTGGCCAAGGGAGACGCACATCTGGCCGAGATAAAGGAGCAGCTTGGCGAGAAAGAGCGTCAGATAGACGATTTGGGTGCTCAAATCTTGGATCTGCGCGAGCGGAATGAGTGGCTCGGAACTAAGATCACGCTGATCGATGAGGAGCGAAGCAGCGAGGCAAGCCGTTCGGAGAAGGAGCTGCGCTGTCATACGTACTTGCGTGACAAGTATAACCATTGTCGAAGCCAGCTTAAGGATAGGATCGAGGACATGGATAAGTTGTCCCGCCAACTGGATGCGTCCAACTGGGAGAACGCGTGTCAACGAGTGCTCCAGTTGCAGTCTGAATGCGAATCCCTCAAGGTGACAATGGAATCGCTAAACGTGTACATAAAGACAAGGGCGGATAAGGAGCAGCGTCTCACCAGCCAACGGGATGAGCTCAATATCCAAAACGATTTTCTGAACCAGCAGTACGGCAAGTTAAAGGAGGATTCAGACTATTTTCTGGGCCGCATCTCTAGCCTCTTAAGAGCCGACAACTCTGTGAATTCCCTGACATCCTCCATCGACTCGACAACGGACGAAATTGGCAAGCGGTTCCGTGATATTGAAGCGTTGCTCGAGCAGCACATGAAATCGTTTGAT